AGCTTTGTATGAGACCAGGAACTAATTCCATCACCACTCAGTTCCTTGCTATCAGCTTCTGTCAGTGCAATTTTAAGACATGTCTAATCAGTTGTAGGTCTCTTTGAGTTCATTGCTCCTTAGTAAAAGAGGTCACAATATAGCCTAAGTAGGTCATCCCATAGTTCTGAAAATCCTGGACCAACCTCCAACTTCAGAGAAGAATAGCTAATTTCAGATGTCTCCACCAGCTCCTTCTTACCCTCTGCAGATGTTTCCGAAATCATGATTAGGGTGGGGTAGAGAGCTGTGGGTGGAGACAGTGAGGATATTTGTGACTACTCCAATTTGCTAGAACTTGACTGGCCACCATCACTCAGAGGACTTTTTCATCAGCTGCCCCAAGACTGTGGAATGACCTATTGGAATAACTCCAACAGCTAATTGAGCTGTCAGAATTAAAAGGCCATCTAAAGGCCTACCTCTTCTGGCAGGCCTACCCAGCCCGTTTTAATGATGAATTTTAAACTCATGTCCTGTGTTTTAATCTTTGTTATGTGCATTTCAATCTGTATTTTGTAGAAATATGTTTTAATATGTGTATTTTATAAAATGTTTAAGATTATGCATTTTAGTGATTTTTAACCTGCCTCAAGCCACAAGGAGAGGCAGGTAAGAAATAATAATAATATTAATAATAATAATAATAATAATAATAATAATAATAATAATAATTTGGTCCCCTGAGTCTACATGGACCAGCTGAATAGGGATGGAGGAAGTAAGACTGTGGGTCATCTGTAGGCCTTGTAGCAAACTTTGATGACTCTCAAAGCTCCTTGGTGATCCTCCAAAGCTCCATAGACTTTAAAAAAATTGACTTGGGGGTGATATTTTACCTGAAAGTGCCCCAAAGTAAAACTATTTACTGATTCAGCAGTTTCACTTTGCGGTTTGGCAGAATCCACAGTCACTCCCCAGCCTAAAATAATAAGCAGAAGTGATGTGGAGTTACATCCATTGCACCAGAAATGGCTAGTGTGGCCCATATGGATCTGTGTTGGTAACAACAACAACAACAACAACAACAACAACAGAATTCATGACTCACCTCTCCCTGAGACTTGAGATGGGATATGACATCATTAAAATAAGAGAGAAAACACTATTAAAAGACATTCAACAAGATATATAGTTAAAATGCAAATTAGAACCCACTAATAAAATCCAGAGTGAAATTTACAGCCTAAAATTGAATGGATAGGCCTGCCAGAAGATGTGGGTCTTCAACTGTGTACAATCGCATGGTATGAATTGCTTCTGGCATAGTTCCCACCCCTGATTCATAATAATGACAGAGCTGGTCTAAGTAAATTCCCTCCTATTTTATTTCCATTTGAAAAAGGAATTCCCAGTATAAGGTCAAGGGGAAAACATGTGGAAGATTAAAATTAATTTACCCACATTTCTACCCACTAAAGAGCTCAGAAGAGTTTGATTAGATTAGAAGTTTTGATTTTAGAATCCTCTGTTGGATTCTGTACACATTGCTGTTTTAAGTATGGTAAGATATAACGATTGCACTGCAGCCAAAGAAGCTTTTGCAGCTTTTGTTTTCCAAATGATTTGGACTTCAGCTCTCAGAAGCCCACCCAACGTTGTCAAAAATAAGGGATCGTGAGAGTTTGCATGTGAAATATCTGCAAGGTCATATGTTATCCTCCTTGGATCTGAAATATTGCGACATATAAACCATTTGGGAGTGGACTGTTTATTTGCTTGCAGAATATGGTGCAAATTTTCATTTAGTAGTACACATTCAACTTTATCTTTTTTCCTGATTTCAAAACACAAGATGCTTTAAGGGTCATCTTCCACAATAATATCAATTTGTAGCAGCTTGGTAGGGTCACAAGCCAGGGCTTTTTGATCATCTGTTATTTGATCTTTTTAAATGGGGATCCAAAAGACTTTATGTTGGGATTGAGGTTTTAAAGAGAAGCTGAATGTTCATTGATTGGGGCTGGAGGATGTTTCAGTGGTGGTTCCCTGCATTGGTGATCTGGTCTAGATGATTATTGGGATCCTTTCCAACTCAATAGTTCATTGATTCTGTTATACCAGGCAAAGCTGCATTCCGCTACACTAGTGTGACAGTCCTACTCCTCTGTATCAAATTTTATTCTGTCTTTTGGGATCCCTATGAGCATTTTGAAAAAGGCTGACAATGTGTACCTATCATTGCATTGTACTAGACCCAGAGGTATCTGTGCCTGTTCCTTTCAAAATGTAAAGGTTTTAGATTCTATGTCTTTCTACTTCTAGTACAGGAAAATATGGCTTTCCAGATGTTGTCAGATCACTACTGTCATCATTCCCAGATGGTATAGCTAGTTGTTCAGATGATGGAAGCTGCAAGTCAATAAAGCATCATATATTCCTCAGTGCTGCTGTAGAATAGCTTATTCTTGCCTTGCTGTTACTTGTATCCCATTGGTTTCTTCTGATTCACTTTTCAGAAAAATATCTATCTTGGCCAGAATCCAGGTGATTTACACTTGTGTAATCTCTGATTGTATAATCTAAGCATTTTTGGAGGCAACTGTTCGAATGCACAATTTCTGTTGGAAATAAGGGCTGATCCATAAAGGTCTTATGTATTTGGACTACAACTCCCCTAATCTCCAGAGATTAAGAGAGCTGTGGTCCAAAATGTAATTTTCCCAACTTCTGGCATATGCCTAGGAATTTATGGTTATAGAATTACCGACCTCTTGGTGGTTGTTCAGTGTTATGTTTTTATTGAGACAATAAAGGCTGAATTCTCACTAAAAGCAAAAATGGTTAAATCAAATTATAGACCCCAGAATTCCACAGAAAGAGGCCATGATTGTTAAAATGATATTATACTGCTATAATTGTGCCATGTGAATACACCATGACTGTAAGTATCTGGATATCAGGCCTTATGAATATTCATGTGCTCTAGGAATGTTTAGTGTGGGGAAGGGAAAACTGAAAGAACATATGAGAGCTATCTTCATATGTTTTGAGGTCTGTCATGGGAGAACAGAGCAAGCTTGTTTTCTATTGCTATAGAAAGTAGAGCTCAAACCAAAGAATTATGCCTACAAGAAGGAGATTTCAATTTAAAATTAGGAAGAACTTTCTGATGATAAGATCCATTTTACAGTGGACAGAACAAAAACTCATCTTAAAAGGTGATGATGAGTCTTCTTTATTGGAAGTTCTCAAACTGAGGTTGGATGGCCATTTGTCAGGGATACTTTAAAAGTGGATTGACTGTATTGGTGAGAGATTTAACCAAATAAGCCCAGGATGTTCCTTCCAAATAAGCCCAGGATGTATCATATATGAAACATAAGAGACAGAGCACAATATCTCTCATTACCTCAATTTATTTTATTCATACGCCAACGTATACCGTCATTTCAATAGACTTACAAAATACAAGATAGCTCATATCAATTAAAACTACACTTTTTTAAAAAAGAAACAATTTTTATCCATAAATCAATCACAAAAATCAAAGTATTAATAACAAGATCTGCAAATTGAACAAAAATATGTTGTGTTGAACAAAAAGACAATTTCCCCTTAGAAGAAATTCACTCTTAAAAACTGATAGGCAGGAAAAACTAAAATCTTTGCAAACATTTTCTAGAGAATTTTAAGATGACATGTCACAATGATGTCAGCTAACCCAATAATCTATGACTCATTACATTATGGCTTCTCAAATGATGAGAAGTCATATGAAATATGTATGCTAAAACACAAACTTATGATATTGCATTTGCCACCTATTAAAGGCATCAGCTACTCAAACAAAAAGTCTATTATTCCAGCAGAGTCAATACTTCTCAACTTTGTGTGGATTAAAAAGCGTTTTGAAGTCTATCATTATCTGGAAGAACATCACCTATTGTTTCAAAAGGCTGTTGTGAACTTCAGTCCTTAACTAAGTATTGTAGCCTGTCAGGGGCCTTATGCACCCTTGTTTTCCCATTTTTTTCTACAGCTCCAGAGCTGAATGGGATATTTTTGAAGATACAGGTAGATTTCCATACATGGTTTGCCTTATCAGTTGGCTGTGCTAGGTTTGATAGATCACATTTCATGCAGGCTAGGGACTCTATCAACATTAGGAAAATTTGGATCTTCCAGACTGTCTAAATTGTTCATAGAAGAGTACTACCAGATTAGTAATCTTCATTTTTTATGTATCAACACACATTCTTATACTGTGCTGTTGGACATGTAGACTTTGCTGAGTACAATTGCTGAGTACAACTGAATAAAGCTCAATGCATCTTCCCTGCTTAACTCAAGAAAACTGGTAGTATAGATTGGAAGAATCTGGAAGTATGACGCCCTATCCTTTTGAAATATATTTGTCTACCCCTTTTTTGATCCAACATGTAAATATAGGGCTTAAAGCATGACTATTACACATAAATAGTGCACCACTAACTTATAAAGCATTGAGTGTCTGTTCTTTGGGGGGGGGGGGGTGGCGGCAAATTAACTCTGACAAGTTGCAGAAGTATTGCTTCTCTGGTAAATCTTAGAAATCCTCCAAGTTAAACTAGAATAATACAGGCCAGGCCAACACATAGATGGTACCAAAAGGAAGTCAAAACCTGTTGTTGATGGAGAGCTTGGAAAATTTCCTTTCTTAGATTACAACTTCAAGAATGCCTGAGTCAACAGCTCTGACAGTCTTGCCATTGACAGAATCCTGGGAGCTGTCACCATACCCAGTATATTTTCTAAATTGTGGGTAGCCTGTAGACAAATTCATTTTTGTGATGTCTCTCTTTATTCCAAATGGAAGACACTGTATTTTTATCACTACTATTTTTTAAAGTACAACTGTTGAAAGAGTGGCAAACAGTCCACAGTCCCCAGGCACCTGGAGACTTCTAAGAGATCTAAATTTGTTACTGTCATATGGTTCTTTGTTAACATGAGTTTTTTCAGTACTTTTCTTTTTTCAGGTTAACCTGATGCTAAATGGAAAACCAGTCATTTCTGCTTTTGCTGGGGACAAAGATGTCACTCGTGAAGCAGCCACAAATGGAGTCCTACTTTATCTAGACAAGGAAGACAAGGTTTACCTGAAACTGGAGAAAGGTAATCTGGTTGGTGGATGGCAGTACTCTACATTTTCTGGCTTCCTGGTTTTTCCCCTGTAAGGTCAGTTTTCCTGTGGCATTCACCCAGGTGTGGACCAGTCATTACTTCTGTTCTTTGAAGATCATCTTCTCATCCTTCGGATTGATGTTTTCTTTCTTGGTTTCTCATGGGTGAATATGGATTCTATTGTCCAACATTTGACCCTATCCAAACTCCTCTAGGATTGCACCAACGTTTGTGTGTTTGGATTAAGACTTAAAGCAGACAATAAATATCTATGCTTGATGTTACAGAATAAAGCTGCCTGCAAGATTTATTCCGAGTTCCCTTACTGGACTTGTTGGATTTTTGGGAGATGTGGATAATTATTACCTCCCCCTACCCTGATTATATTTTTTAAAAGACTGGCAACCAGGTCTATAATTTAAGAAGCTTTGAGTTCTGTCTTCAATCAAGATTAATACATAGCTGCCAAAGAACTATTCATTGATCTATTAGTTATATGATGTCTTTGTTTCCCTCACTCTAAAATTAACATAAGTTCATTCAATTCAGTTGGAGAGGAATAGATAATAGTTATTGATAAAGGTTTGGATTCATTACTCTTCTTTGTAGAGTCTATTGAGTGAATCGTTTAGAAGTTCTCCTTCAGCTAGTTAATAGCAAAAGAAAACCACCCTATTGAAAGTCTGTGGGCCGTGGCTGGATGTTATTTGCACACTGAACAAATTTATATTCTACATAAAGTATTTTCTAGTAATGAGAAGAGATTATCGTGGTAAGGAAAAATTGTTTACCAGGGTTAAATGGGATCGTTTTGGCAAACCTCGGTGGAATGGCTTTGCTCCATAGAAAAAATTATGCTTGTTCTTTACCTTTAATTAACATGATTGATAATAACGACTTTGTTGAAAAAACTCAAAGGGATTCATTCCTTAGACACGGCTAATTCATTAGTCAGAGATGGAAATTCTGCCCTCCTGTTTTTAATTATGTCTGTTTCTCCAGCCTTCTGTTGTGTGTGAGGTGTCATCTGGTTTTGCCTTAACTCCACAAATGTATATAAAGAAGGTAGATATCGTGGGCTTTATCCAGACCAAGTTAAGCACTATATAGTGCAATCCTATGCATGTGTACTCAGAAGCAAGTCCTTCTGAGTTCAATGGGTCTTTCTTCCAGGTATCGTGTGTATAGGATTGCAATCCTAAAGTCCTACTGATTTCAGCAAAAAAAAAAATCACTGATATCGGTTGGATATAGGCGGGGTAACTTTTGACAGACAGCGTCTCATCTGTTTAGCAAATATTCAGCCAAAATAGCCAGTACCTAAACTTGGTGCAATATCTTTTCTGTCTTTTTGTAAAGGCCATATGAAATCATAAATTTATTTATTATGTTGCTGTTACAGAATAAAAGACAATATATGTTAGTGTATTTCTTAACCTCTGGTGATCTGAAAAAAACAAGACGTTTTTCCCTTTAATGAAGTGCTATCAACTAGCAACTTATTATTTTATGCAAGGTTAAAGAACACTTCTAGAAAAAAATGTATTTTCTCTGCTCCTCTCTCTCAATGTCCAGAGAAACATCAGCATGCAAAAATCACCACTAGTTCCTTTGTGTTTTGATGGAATATTTAAAAACCCACACACATTTTCAGAAAAAATGGGAGGATAGCCACGTAATTTTGTTCCCTATCACTTCTCTTGACATATTTCACATGGTTGTTGAGATGTTCAACATCAGGGTGCATATGCTCCCTAAAATATTGGGAAGAAGAATTGAAAAAATGAACAATAGAAAGATACCTGCAGACAAATCCCACATACATATAGTTTCACCATGAAATATTTTTCTAGGGGAAAGAAAAAAAGGGGCAAAGAATAAGATTCTGAATTCCGGGTACAAAAATAATCTGGAGTAGAGTTTGTATGCATAATAATAATAGTAATAATAGTAATGATAGTAATAATGACTTTATTTATATCTCAGCCCATCTCCCTATGGGAACTCGGGGCAGTTAACAACATAAAAAGGCAAATATTCAATGCTGTCAAAATACATATATAACTTAATAAAACATATAAAAACAGTACTGCATTCAGTAATATAAATATACCATAATAAAACATTAAAACATGAAGCAGTGGTTGCTGATGATTTCCATGTAATGTGGCAGTGAATCCAAGTTTTCATTGAAACACTTAATGAGCTGCTTCTTCTTGGGGGATAGAATTCAGCACATTGGATAGTTCCTTTCAAAGTGTAACTAACACCTGGAATAATTTTGCTATCCCACTGACACTGATTGACTCTTACTTTAAGAAATGAGATAGTATCTTTCATGGCACATGAACTGACAAATGGCTTTAGAGATCCCAGGGTAGAAGTATATGACATATTACACAGTTCTCTCCAGCAACAGAAGGTATTAGCTGGAACAAGAAAATAATGAATCAGCAGGAAGAGCTGAAAAGATGCTCCTAGCATCTGATGCCCAAGACTGTTGCTTCAATCTGTATGTTTTACCAAAGAGCCCAGAGATAATGGTAAGTTCTACAGCTCCACAAAACTTACTATCCATTTGAATGACTGAAGAAGAGACTGGAGAGCTGGATAACCAAATGGATAATCCATGGGTTATGTGTGTGAATATTCTACTTTCTCTAGACATTCTTTAAATGGTGGGAACTACTATGCCCTTGGAGTGATACTGCCCCACCCCTCAGTCTTTATGCCCCATCCCTCAGTCTTGATCAAACTTAAGTAGATGTGAGTGCCATAAGGATTTTTTAAATCCCTTGATCCCATATCGTGGGTTGTGGGCCATATAATGTACATGTTGCATTGCACTGATGCATTGCTCCAAGCAGGTAGTGTATGCTAGAGGTCAACATGATTGCCATATGTACTCCTCATGATTATGCTTAAAATCCCATCTTTTGTTCAGTGGAGGATGCAATTAGATTGGAACAACGTGGAGCAGATTCACAACTTACCCACATTAAAATCACCACAGTTCCCTGTTCAGTTCTGCTCCCCTTCTAAGTCCAGTGATGTTAAGAATAGAATGATGTTTTCCCACAAAATTCTGAGTTGTTCTTAATTTGATGCAGCAAAATTATCTTGCACAACTCGGGGATTTAGCACAACATTAAGTTCAGTGCAATGGAATCCACTGTATCATATATATGTGTGTGTGTTTTGCAGACACACATTGCAGTCTTTCTCCTTCTCAAAAACATAATTTAGAAGGTCATAGGAATAAGGGGTCTGTTTGTGTGGACATTTCTATGGTATTTATTGACATTTCTATGAAAAATTCACATATAAGAGAAGTACAGCAGAGGTACTGTCCTGAAATTTTGGTTTGGACCCAGTTTTTGGAAATTGGGAAAGGGCATTGATTTATCTCAGGGAAACATTATTTGCTCTATTGGGGAATCAATGAAGACTTTATCACTTTTCTTCTTTCTCTCTCCCTCTCTCTCTCTCTCTTCGACAAAAATGGATGAAATGTGCAGGGGGAAAGCCAGATATTATAGTAGTAGTTGTAGGAGTAGCAGTAGCGGCAGCACCAGCACCAGCAATAAAATAGTGGCTCCTTCTGAGAGGATGAAACCTGAAAAATTCAGACAGGAAAATGTAGGTGCTTGCATTAACAGTGTATTATTTTGTGGGGCAGGTGGGAAAAACTTTTCATCCCATTTTGACATGTCTTCTCTCTCTCTATTGGCAGCGGTGGCGGGTTTTTTTTAAAGCACATTACAAATTAGTTCTGGGGACCCAGAAGCCTGCATTGTTTTGGAAGAAAAGGTTTAGGAAGTTTGTTCTTGGTGCCAGAGAGAAACTAACACGCTAGCTTGAGTCCAACCCATTGTATTTTATTGATAACCTATACAATAGCAACTGGAGGTCTTGAAGCAGAGGTTGGGTGCCCATCTTTGGGGAGAGTATATTTCTGCAGGTCAGAAGGGGGTTGAATTAGTAGCTCTTATGATCTTCTCTGCCTCTATAGTTTTATGAGGCCAGCACAGTGTAGTGGTGTAAGTGTTGAACGATGACATTGGAAGATGATCCCTGCTCAGCTATGGATGACCTTGGGTAAGTCACACTCTCTCAGCTTCAAAGGAAGACAAGAGCAAACCCTTTCTGAACACATTCTGCCAAGAAAATCCTATGATGGCATTGGGGACACACAACAATAAGAAGCTGTAAATCAGTTCTGGGTTCTACTCCAAACTTTATAGGAACTATCTAAAGTGGTGTCCTGAAATAGGCTTAAAATTCAGACTAAAACTTGGAATGGACTCACAACCCCATTGACACAATTGAATCTGTATGCATGTACCACTGAGATGCTGTTAAGGAAGTAACAGTAAATTTCCACATTTATAGGTATAATGAGTGAAAAATAATATTTAGAGTGTTCTGTTTTCTGCTCTATTGATATCATGAAAAATTTAACTGAAAATGTGTAGGTGACACATTACTGGGAAAATAAAATGCAGAGCTTCTAAACAGTGTATTTTGCAGAAGAGTGTATTTCATGTTTGGAATGCTATAAAAAGGATTTTCTCCCCATTAGACTATTATAGTTGTAATGTGTTCAACTATAAACATAACTTTGAGGATATAAGATTATATACCTGTTTAGGTATACTGTTGTAACTGCAATATTATTTGCATTGTTTTGTTATTGTTGTTCTTATGTGTGTTCAAGTCATTTTGGACTTTGGACCTATGGCAACCCTAAGAAAACCCCATCACAGAGCTTTCCAGAATGTGGACTGTGTGACTTGCCCAAGGTTAGTCAGTAGGTTTCCATAGCCCAGCAGATAATCAAATCCTGGTCTCCAAAGTCATAGCCCAACACTCAAATTGCTACACCATATTGGCTCTCCCATTTTATCTATAATACATATGCACACCGGTCAGTAATGCCTACATATAGTATACATATATGCACCATGCACACAAATACACATTATTGTGATATCTCTACCACATCCCATTAAATCGTTAAAGCTAAGGTGGACTAGTTGAATGGAAGATTGTCAAGGAATGTCAGATGCTATAGTGGCTATAGCCTATATTCAGAGGAAAGCACTGGCAAACTTACCTCTGAGTACTCTTTGCTTAAGATATGGCTTTGAAACTCATCAGGTCATCATAAATCAAGGACAACTTGATGCTCCCTTCTCCGCATACACACTGCTTACTTTTTCTGTGTATATTCAATTGGAAAGTTTAATTGTTGCCTTGAGATATGGCTTTCCCTACCAAAACATCTCAAAGACAGTATTTCAGCAAAGCTAGCTAGACATTAGTGCATTCATACAATGAAACTGAAATGAAACATAATGATGACAGATGTGACATTTGTAGAGTGTTAGGTTGACTTAGAAAAGGTATCACAATTATATTTATAGATTTCCCCTTTCCCACGGCAAACACTTTTCTCCAATATTTTCCAGATTATAAACTCAATGAGAGAAAGCTATAAACAATTACAGATTGACTAGTACTGTAGTGTCTTCCAGCCCTTGGGTTTTTTTTTTGTAATTCCTTTAAAGTTGACTATGTGTTGTTATTTTAAAACAGGAATTAGCTAATTGTGGTTGCCAGAGATTTTTTGAAAAGCAGCTTATAACACTTCCAACAGCCCTAAGGACAAAAGGCAAAAGTGAGGAATGCTGAGACCTGGGACCCAATGACCTCTGGAGAGCAAGAGCTTTGTCTCTAAAGAATGACACATGAAGAGAAGCAGATAATGGACACACTAAGCACATAAAACTGGTAGCAATTTATTTGAAACATGATGGGAACAAACTTGAATTTCATTCCTTGTAGTGTATATCTAAAATCTAAATGTTAGTACTTTAAATGAACTCAATAGACAAACACAGTGTCCAAATTTCCCTAGTTTGAGTAGATCCTCAGAAAATACATTTTTGTAGGTTCCTTTCTACCTAATACGACAACTTCCTCAAGTTACAGAATATAATAATTGAATGTATCCCCTGTAGTCCTCCAGATGTTATGGACTACATCTCTGATAATGTTTCACCACTAGCCACTGTAGCAGAATCAGTATGCAAAGGGATCTTGTAGCACCTTTAAGGACCTCTTCACATGGGCTAAAATTGGCAGTGGTGGCAGGGTTTTTGCGGTTTTGCCATGGAGCCCATTGGCTCCCATCACACATCAGAAAAGTACTTTCGGGGTGGCTCCATGGCAAAAGTGCCAAAAAAACCCTGCCACCACTGAAAAATAGCTGGTAGCACATGATGAGAAGTTTCTTGTTTTTCCATAGGGAAAGATAGGTTCACTCGGCTTCCTGAGGCTTCCCCCCATGTGATGAGGTGAGGGGAAGCTGGGACATGGGATACTAGGTTACCACACCCCCTGGGTGGGTGCTGCCATGATTGCCG